GCTAACATCTATTCTTTTATTAATATGGCATAATTTACAGACATACTACATAATAGCCAGATTACTCTCTAATACACGAAGTAATAAACCATTAACGGATACGAGCGTCAATACATCTACCTCAAAGTCAATGTGTGTCTCTATGCTATAGAATATACAAGGTGTCTCATAAAAAAACAGTATAATTTATTCGTAAAAAGGTTCGTTTCTCGTAACGATTAAGTTTGACAAGCATGCCTCAAAATATTACTGTACTTTTTCATGGGCAATCACCTGCTCATTCCACCGTACCTGTCCATTACGCGACACCGTGTGCAATTTATAACTATAGAAAATATATTAATGTTCCCGTTATACAGATTTATTGATGTAATCGTGTAAAACGACGCCGAACGAGAGCATGTATTTAACGTACACCCGCTCAATTACGCTTCGTCTCGCCGAGAATCGGCACAAATGATCCAAGGAATTTATTGATATTGATCTGCATCCCGTACGGAGTTCCACCAACAATCTTTCGTGTTGACTTTGAAGCACGTGGAGTAAACAGGAAGTGTGTCCATGTGAAGCGTTCCAGCCTGAAAGTCAGCTATAATCGGATTCAATTGAGCGAAATCCACGAACGAAACCGAAGGAAACCGCGACGAGGCTTCGGCCGCAATAGAAAGCATACTTACAAATCTATTCTACATCCGATCTATTAGCATCCCGAGAGGCTGATCGACATTCGCCAAACATTCGTGGTCTCGTCAACAAATCTTTTCCACAGACAGAAAGGGAATAATCTGTAGGAAGCCCCGGATTACTGCAACACTTCTATCTCGATACGGTCGCACTAATCCGGTCCTTACCCCTAAATTCAATTTCGCTCGAATGCCGATCGACCAATCTCCCTGAAGTTTTTCTTTAGCGCTTATGCATCCGACGCGTGAATAGAAACCGCCTTGACGGAACGTTAAACACCAAACTCCCTCTATGAGTCAAACGTACGTTTAATATTCTTTTCATAGCGCGGTGACATCATTATATTACAAACGCGATTGATCGTCTCTTCTCGAAGGTTACGCGTTCGAATTTTCGCGTAATCTTGTGAGTCATACAGGTGTACGAACAGCCATTTTCCTGTTCTTCTTTTCAAACAAATCTTGCGCATTAAAACGAAACATCAGGGATCTGGTACGAGAGAGTATCTGCTATTAAAAAATTGAATTAACGATGTTATTCCGTTCCCCAGCGATCGGTCCCGATAAACAGAGGAATATTCATTTAACGGGGCCGTGAAGAGTACCATGTGTTTCCCAGATTTATGAGAGATTAATCCTCAGGTGCAACGGTGTTTTCTCAGCCCGATGTTTTGTAATCCTCTCAAGCCTCTCCCTGGGCGTTCGTTGACTCGCGGCGGTTCAGGGCTAGGCCCCGGCTCCGTTTGCCTCGCGCGCGCGCGTAATAATGTGCGTGGTGCACCTCGCTTCGCCGCGAAAACTGGGACGCTGCGTGTGCTGCAAGGAGGAGACAATTGTGGGAAGAGAGGCTGAAAGCGAGATTGCTTCGATCGCTTCGTCTTCTTCGTTCGGAGCGTCCTAACGGTTTCCCTTTTCGAGAAGCGTGCTGCGCGTGGAATAGATTGCGACGCCGATAATGGGTATTCCTCGTTTTTTTTCTTTCAATTAATAAATGAAAACACGGATTCCGGACACGTACACCCACGAGCAAACTCGGCTTCCACTAGGGGAAAAAGTACTGTTGGGAAAGGGCCTCTTACCATGCTTGTACCACTTGGTATTTGGAATTACTGAAATTTATTACAAAGTGATAGGAGGCCCTTTCCCTATATTACTTTTTCCCCTACTGGAAGCCGAGATTGTTACGGAGTGATCAATGGTGTTTTTAAGAAAATTTATAAATCGATGCATAAGATGTGCAGCTTGTAAGATTGCTTTTGTCGAGACCACTGTAAATACCTTGTCATTCTATACTCTATCGTGATCTTCAGATCTTTTTATATTCGATTGTAATTTCAGTTCTGGGAACCAAGAAGATCTACAAGCCTTGCACGATTAAAGAACAAAGCCCGCTGGATATTCTTTCATGGACTTTGGGTTCGAGCCAGTCAACGAGTTAACCACGACGTGCATTCTGCGTCGATCCGTCGAGAAAGGGAACAATAATTGCAACAAATAAATGCCGCGAAATGGCGGAAAAGTTGCGTTCACCGAGAGCTGGCCTAGACAAATGAGTCACAACTCGCGTTTCCCGACCAGGCCCAGCACGGTATACAGTTTCAATTCATCGTCGTAAATAAGGCCATATGTATTAAAGCTATTCGTACGTGTTACGTGTAGCGTACACACTAATTATACAATACGTACATTCACATATGTACCTATGGATCGTAGTATTCACAGTTCGAAGTGTGGTAAGGCGAGAGGAGAATAAGGTACTGCATTGATCTTCGGTCTTTCTCCGTTCTACGTCGGGCGAATTAAGAACGAATTGGTACCCTTTCGCGTTTCTTTGTTCGTGATCGCTTGGTGAACTCGTTTGATCGTATTGTAGCTTGATCTCCCGGATCGCAGCTACGGGTAACAGGTGTAATTGGTGACTGTTTATCATCAGGGCGATATTAAAACGCAATGACAAATAACGAACAGTTATTTCTTCTGAAACGAATCCTCTGTAAATCGAAAGGATAGATGATCCGTTTAATGTATAGTTTAAAAAATACCGAAGTAATACAAAAATATAAGTAAACAATGCTAGTTGAGAATGGAAAGAAATCCAGAAACCAAGAAAACGGAATGTAGATTCTGGTCGCGTTACAGAGGATTAATTTATCCAGCAGAATTACAAGAAGTCATGTATTATCGCCGCTATTACGGCTGTCCCTGTGGACGTTAACGACTGATCGAACTATGACCCTCTTATGTTAGATCATTCATCTAACTCTCGTCTCATGTTAGATCATTCATCTAATTCTCACTGTCGTCGATGTTTCTTTCCCGAGAGGACGGACGCTCGACGATGGCTGCTTTCATCGTAATGACAAACGTTCCATCTTCTATTCAGACCTCCCTTGGCCCCTAAACTGGCTCGCAGTCAACAGCTTTTCTCCTCCGTTTCCCCAATTTCCTTTCAAATACCCGCCCCGATCGGCGTGGAAATGTCTTAATTGTCGGCCGGTGGATTTAATAGTCCCCATTGGCGATGTTAATTCGAGGTCAATTAACACCATGAATCCGTCGATATTGCGGCGAAACTTTCGCCCCGGTATACGACATACATGTATACAGAAAGTGTAATCGTTTCTGCGTTACGCTGGGCGATTCAATTCGGTTGCCTGATTAAACATGGACACGGATAGAATACTGACAGATTTATTGTTAACACAGAATAGAGTGAATGTTTTGCTTCACGTAGATTATAAATTATCAAATTGATTATATCTACTTTACAGAGGAGGGACTTCGCATGGTCTTCCTGCTTTAAAAGGATTTACAAGTTCCATTTCCTTTTATTATATCCTCTCTTAACATTCTTTGATCTACATTCGAACGAAGTAACAAAATCACAGAAATTTATATTTCATTTTTTTTTCTTCTTTTTTTGCAGGACAGGTTCTCCAATTCTCAATTGAATCAATCGACTGGACTCTTTGGTATTGTGGACTTTTTGTGTTAAGAAAAAAAAAACGAATGTTTCTCTGTTCTGGAAAGAAAAATGATAGAATAGCTGCTAGAAGAACAGTAGATACGCCATTGTTCCCCACGGTAAAGACCGTCAATGTGCAAACACACGTCGGTAATTGTAACCGATGAACTCTTCGAGATCAATTTCGCCCGAGAATCTTGGATGGCGACGATAAATCAGAATGACATTGAGAGACGCGTTTCTTGGTAGTCTTGAAACCCGAGAAATCTTGGGGATTTCTATTGTCCAGCTGGAATTGTCGTTTACCGGATTCGATGGTATCTTTAGCCTGACTTGAATAACTCCAATCCAATTACAATTCAGCTGGGAGAATTCTCCGGACTGCATATCCGCGCCGGAGATTATCATCAATCGTTTCGAAGATTATGGTGATAAGTAGTCTTGTCTGCGAAGTTCCAACGTTTCAGACGTACCCTAGACTAGAGCCTTCAATCTTGTACATACAGTGTCTCTTTGTCGCAACCTACACGGGTATACGTGAAAAATGTAACGTACGCGTATGATATATCTATTCACCTTGTAAACATTACTGTATACATTCGAAGTGAATACGTTTGATTAACTGTCCCTTGTGTGGGCGACCGTTAGAATTCCATAAAATGTAAGCTTATTACCGTAGATGTCTACGATCATACAGGCTGTTTCATAAACTAGTGGGAAATACTTAACCGGTGAACAGAACCTGTCGACGGAAACGGAAAATAACTAACTAAAATTTAACACTAGAACTACCAAAACAATGGAAATGACTGGTTAGTACCTATAGAAATGTTACAACAATGCATTTTCTCAGATTTATCGCAACAATTATCGCAGCATGAAAATTAAGATATTAGTTGATATATAAATTTGAATACTTTCGAAATGGTTGTCATGTTTATCGATCGGATAGAAATAAATATACGCTCATCGTCGGTAGTTCTAGTGTCAAACATGGTTTAATCTAAAGGCTAAAAAATGTCCCGCATTATTGTTACACACGATCGAGGTAGCGATGGGCGATACATTATCGATATTTCGAATGCCAATACTTTTCAATTCAAATATTGACATTTCAGAATATCGAAAATTTTCAATTCAAATATTGATATTTCGAATATTGATACTCAACCCATAAATATCAAAATTTCGATACAGGTCATAAGAAAAATATACCGATCGCGATCTTCCCATAAAGTTTACAATTGGTCGATTTCTTTTCCACTATCTTTTCATTACTTCCAATTTAATTTCAAGTGTCAGTACCGATAATATCGATATTTTATTCCCGATATACATCTGTATCGTTCCTCCGATAATTAATACGTATCGATATCAAATTACCGATCCGATTCAACTGTATCCCCATCACTCGATCGAAGTAAATGTGTAATATACGCATACCCGTATACGAACTCGCGAGACCGACAACGCTCGTTACAAAACACGTCTAAACGGCCGTAACATCACGCTTGGCCGTGAATCCGTGTATCCGTGAAACGAGGGGGATCGTTGTATATACGAGGGGGACGTTCAAAGTCACCAGAAACACTGGACGGGTCATCGGCGCGTGTTATCTAACTGTGAAGATAATGTCGGAACGTCCTTTGATTGTATACCCGTGCGTAGATCCGAATACAGTCTACTTCTAGAAAAGATAAACGATAATCGGAGGGCTGAGATACGTTTACTGTACGACGACGGCCAACAGAACGGCCAGCGCCATAGCGACGCCAAGGCTGATCCTATTCGCGCACGATGTCGGTACCACCGGTTGTTCGGGCGCGGTACCGTCCTCGAAGTACTGGTAGCTCTTCATCCCGGTCTCCGCTCTGACCACCCTGTAGTTCGGCATGCTGGCGTTCACACGATTGTTCAGAATGTTCTGCATAGCGTTCGTCACGCAATAGAAGTTCCCGTCCTCGTCGAACGCGAACGTGTCCGGCCACTGCATCCTCTCGTGGTCCCTGGAGATCACCCTCTGCCCGGTGTTGAACGACGCGGACGTTTTCGTGTCCCACAATGACACTGCGTCGTCGGCCAGCAGTCCAAAATAGAGAACACCGGTCGCGGACATCATCATCCCATCGGACTGGGAATTCTTTCGGCCAAGCTCGTTCACGTACTCGTCGATGTTGGACATGTTGCTCTTCAGCACGGACGTCGGCATCGAATACAGGTGGAATGACGACAAAGGCGAGTAATAGAGCTGTCTGTCCTTGACGCTCGCCGGCGACAACGCGATCCCGTTTACCGGGAACGGCATGTTGATCAGCGCTTTAGCGATCATGAACCTGACCGCCTCCGGTTTCGCTTTCATCGAGTCGTGTCTGATTTTCCAGGAGGTGTTGTTCTGAAGGGAATAGACGATTATGCCTGGATCCTCGCGGTCGCTGTCCGATATGTACGCCATGCCGCCGTCTTCGTGGTCCACCACGATGTCGTTCAAATGTGCGAACCCGTGGCGAGCTACGTTCTGCGGGAACTCGTACGATTTCAACACCTCGCCGTTCTTCTCTAAATCCAGGATCACCAGACGTGGCGGACAAACGGTCTTGGTCTCAACGGATAGATGCGATATACGCCCAGAATCGATCACCCACATACGACCGACGGGATCGATCTCCATACTTTGAACAAACTGGAAGGCACTGCAATCACCGATCTTTTGCATCGCCCAGCTAGGGAACGCTTCCAGATTCGGATCAGTGTTTCTGTTCACAGGTGTCGCGGACGTGACGCCCAGCGTAACCGGTACCCCGTCCCTCCAGCGTGGGAGCGTCAGGTACATCTTTCCCTTCCAGAGCTTTATACCGGCTATGAAATTGTTCGCTGGTATATAATCACCGTGCGTAAGGGCGTACTGTTGCTCCTCCTCGGACGGCCATACGACGTCCAGGGTGTTCCATTGGAAGATCACCTGGAACGGTTTATGGGACACGGTCGTGACGACTAGAAGAGACAGCAGGCATATTAGGCTCTTCATTCTGAAGGTTTTAATGTACACTTTTTGAAGGTTTTATAACACGATTTTATCACAATCTTTCACGTATCGTTTCTTTTCTTTCAGCCAAAGAGGCTTCTTCTGCCTCTACCTTGTTCAGGAAGGTGGAGGTTCAACTGTCTGATCCAGTTGAAAGCTGATATCCGGAACAAGGAACGCTCGCGACCCGGCAAGTGTCGCTGGGGATCCGGAAGACGGTCTCTGTCTATCCTCGCGAGTCTATTCTCGTCGACGAACAGCCGTAACGTGTTCCACGGAATAATTCGTACGTGCCAACTGTTTGTTGGCTGGCCACCGGGGAATTAGTAAGTTCCCCCCCCCCGTCGTCGGATGTCCTCCAAAACACCGTTGTCACCGCCACTTTATTCGCCGCGGCGGACGGGGTTACTCTAAGGCCGGGTTCCGTGAAAAAAAAAAAACGCGCGAACGGTCTCAACAGCGGCCCATCACGCTGGGACGATCGCAATTTGACTGACCGAAGACGCGGAGCGTCGCCTAGAGAGGCGTCGTGCCCCCCACCATTTGCCCGTCACGTATTTACACTCCACACGGTGCTCTGTGCACGTGTGCCTGTGTGCGAGTCCGCCACCGCGCACGTGGTTGCGTGCGTATTGGTACAGGGTCTTTCATTTTCAGCGCAAAAAGTAATAATTATTTAAATCAAAACAAAATTTTTAATATACCACGTTCTTAAGACGGACTAAAAAGTATAAAATAATTTTTCCTAACCCTATACAGATAGTCCTGAAAATGTGTGATTGTGAATTTTTAATAGCTATGAAAATACTTGTAAGATTTAAAACGCAAAACGTGGATGTTTGAAGAACGAAGAAAAAAAATCAACATGGGGACCAGAAACTGTCAACTTTTTTGCGCTCAATTTGAAAGACCCTGTACATGCCCGTGCAACAAGAGGAGAGGAACACCCAAGGATCCCCACCCAGAGCGTGGCACACGCGAAACCTCGCTCGATGTTTAACCGAGATGATGATGCATCGTGGAAAATGTAAATTAACATTCCTCGATGAATCACATCACCGATCGACACGACACGGTGTACAGGAATCGTTCTATCGAACCTTCGATTCCGGTCCAGGGCTGCTTGAATCGTGCTCGCGGACTTGGAACAGATTCTTCGCGTTCTGAGGTCTGACCCTGGTATTTTTCCAGCGTTTCTTGAAATCCTAGCACCCCTTAATTGTCTGGCTATTTTCTAGGTATTCCATATTGCGACAGAGTATTGCATTCTTTAGTGTATATAGAGTTTTCTGATAAGTCCCTGGTGAGTTACTGGAATGCATTTAATGTAGCTGATGGAGAGTAGAAGACCAATGGGAAGGAACCGATAAATTTCGAGTATTCATCAGGATTTTGTAGATAAAAATGAATTGAAGATGAACGATTGATGGAGATGGAGTAGAAGACCAGTGGAAAGAACTGGAAAATCTGGAGTTGTAATAAATGATCAAGTAATTCCATTAATTTCACCTGAATCGCTATATTTTGGGCATAAAAACAGCGTTAGAAATAGTTCAATTATCTGACTCAACCAGGTATTCATCAGGATGTTATGGTAAACAATTGTAAAACAATTTTTCAAGCATGGGGTGGGTCTAATGTAAATGGTAACGCATAAAGAACGGGCAAGTATGACTTCCCTTTCATGGAGAAAGAGGTCTAACGGACTTCTGGCTAAATGCAATTGTACGCAACGGGATACGAAGAAACGGTCGTTGAATCGATTTTTTGGGATCATCTCCGCCCAGGGGGGAAAGATAAAGCAGGACCCGACAGTCTTTTCTAAGCCGCCTCAACCCTTTCAACGTTCCCTCATTCAAACAGATCCGGCCTTGCGGCACATCTCTTTATCCCTTATTTCAACCTCAACGTCTTTCGTTCAGCCTAACAATGGAACGTACCAGGAAAACATCGTTGGATATTACCACGAGGAATATTAATCCAATCACCGGATGGAAATTGCTCGAGAATCACTGGGACAATTCTGTTGCATGAATTCATCATGGACGAGACAGCAGAAAATAGGAAACTATCAAATACGATGGCAAGGAGTTAAGTCGTGCATGTAGGATCCAAGTAAAATATACTTTTTGACCGACTTGACGAAAAGGAGCAGATATACAATTCGATGTGTATGTATGTTTTTTTTTTTTATGTATGTCCAGCGATTACTCTGCAACGAATTTCGCAACTTGTAAAGGATGTTTCCACGTTTGCAAAAAAGGTTGCACTTTTTAAAATTTATTATACACTATTTCGACGTCCCTCCGAAGTTTTTGAAAAGAATCTTTTTCGAGAACAAGTGTATATCCCGTTTGCGTGTTTCATCGTCGCTGTCATACGAAATGACCGCACGACGATCAGTTTCCTTGCCTCTCTCGCGGTCCATTGATCCCGACCGTGCGCGAAATGGATCGATGAATGCGCTAGATGACAGCTGCAACCGATACCCCATCGTGCGGTCTGTAACCTCTGGAATTTTTCAAATCCAGCCAAGTTGTTTCAGTCGATCCCACCGATTCATCGTGAATCGTTCTTTCTACGCAACGTTTAATTTTCCATTACTCTGTACAGGTTATTAGAAAACGTATTGTCCTGCGTGGAACTCCGTGCGGCACAGAAAACGCGAAGGTCAGGCACGCGAGGTGTCTGATTAGATAATTATGGAGATGCTCCCAGCGAAACCGCCCGTCCGTAGCTGGAAACAAACGTTACATCACAACCGGGTACGGGTTTGATGGGACTCACAAAAATAGTCCCATCCGTGGCCGAATGTGATCGACGGCCCCAAGAAGCCGATGTATCAACACCGGCCGTATTTTCGAATGCGAAACGACGACGCCCGTGGTACGGGTACAATAACATTTTTGGCAGCGGTTCAAGTATCTATAAAAATTCACCGAGCGAAGGGAATCTTGGTGGGCACGTGCCCGTGGAGGAGGAATCCTGTTACGCGAACGTTTTCATAACTTCGTTTCGAATAATCCTTGACGAGCAGACGTATATTACTTCGTTGCGAATACGCGCAACACGATGGAGTAACAGGTTTAATAATGATTACCGATAGTCGACAAATATGTAACTGTATAGGGTGATCCAAGAAAAGGGTTGAAAATTATTTTATTCGAAGGAGTACGGCAGGATTCATTATAGATACATACAAGGTGAAAGAAAAAAATAAGGGTTGATAACTTCTGGGGTAGATAGTACTAAACGATGTAAAAAGGTTCTAATAAATATGGGTCGAGAAATGAATATTTTCAGTTACAGACAATTTTTTGTTTGGCTTAAGCGTACCGCATAGAAACAATGGATTTTCTTATCATTTCTTCTCTTTTCCTGGTTACAGAGGGCTTTCTGCAATTTTTATTAATTTTTTACTCACTTTTTACCAAACAAAAAGTTTCATTTTCCGACCCATTATTATTAGGACTTTTCTTCATTATTTCGTAAGTATATTATCTACCCCACAGGTTATGAACCTGTTTTCTAATCACTCTGTATATACTTTACAGATAATGTAAGTTTTTGAGCTGTAGGTTTATGTCCCTGAAATTGGAAGTTCTGTTGGGAAGAACATTGTTGAAGGATGAATGTGGATCGCATCAATATTCAACGAAACCGACTGGTTTAGTTCCAACGTAAGGAACCAATGAACGACGAACCGAGAAAAAACTCTGCTGATCGCTGGGCATGACTGCGTCGTTGAAATAACGAGACAGCCAATTACATGGTCGGTCTGCCTAATTCTATCTTGAGATTATTTTCTTTGCGTTAGATGTCCGCTCCGTAAATAATTCAGGGTACACGTAACAAAAAATCGTTAATCAAACAATCGATAGATGAAAGGATATTTTATTTCATAATTGCAATACGATTTGGAAATTTTTCCTACGTTCGACCTTGATGATCATTGGTGCACGATCACCATGAGACAATATTAACGCAATCACACGCCTCTAATTAATATCGAACGGAAAAATATCTCTATTATATAATCGTAAGAAATACGCGACGTGACTGCCAGCGACGTGGCTGAATGGCTGTAAACGATAATGGATGAAAACAACAATGAATAAGAATGATCGTACGGGCGACGTCTCGAAGCATCTGGATGGCCGTGATGTCGAAACGGCCGACACCTATTACAGAGAGACAGCACCATTGCACACGCACTTTATTACTGTTATAACATTACGTTACAGGTCACATGATCGTGAGTCAACAGTTATGCCATATACTGGTCACAATTCGAGGCGGCCAATGAAGCTTTTCCGTCATGGATCATCGTTAGAAGCCCTTCGGAACTCTTTCGATTGTACGCCATCAACGAGCACTGAGGACACGATGAAATGGAACGAACGTGTCCTCCAAAGTCAGCTAACTCGATGCATGTTTTACGTAGAAATTTACGCTCGGTCTGTTTGTGAATGTATATATTCGGTAACTTACATCATCCGTCAGGAGGATACCGATTTATGGGCTTACGTGGACCTAGGAACGGCCTATTGATCGTTTATATTTTGGTACAGGATTCAAGTCAGCGTTTTCCAACCATTATTGGATCGTACCCCACTTCAACGCTTCAAAGATCTCGACCCTCATCTAGCATAATGGTAAAACCAAGTTCTGAAAATGTTTAACATTAATAGCTGCTTCAAATAAAAAAGGCACACATGTAACACTGTTGCCGATAAGGTAAAAAATGTCAATAATTTACTACTTGCTCCCCCATTATATTCAAATTTCCCCTCGGTGGGGCGTACGCACCACGCTGGGAAACACTGATTTAAGTGGATCGATGTAGGAATTAAAACACAAATTTTTCTTCCCTGTTCCAGATGGGATCAGTTGGCATGGATACACTCGGGTTAATCGGCTAACGCCACTGCCATTGGTTTACTAGCGTTACCATGCAGAGAACTAGACCAACACGCGGGACGGAATTACAGATTTATGCTAATTGGTGACTGATTAATATTGCCGGTGCGAATTGGTCGCAGTTGCCACAGGT